GCATTTGTCTAGCTATGACATTTTCTTGATATTAGATTTGTTAACAGTTGTAGCCGCATAATAAAAAAAAAATACACTTTAGATTATAGTTGTGTTGGTTGTACTTTATTCTGTGCACTTGTGTAATTGTGTTGGCCAGAATTCCTATTTCCTAAAGTTAATTAAAAAATTGGCTGAAAAAATTGGAATTGAACGCGACACTCACAATTCACAAGACTCACAAGTCGCAACCAATAGATAACTGTTTTCCTTTCTTTTGTAACTCTCTTTCTCTCTTGGAGCATCAGAAAATAATTACTTTCTCGTTAAAGTTTTTTTAGTTAAATAAACCTAATGAATATTTCTAATGTCGAATATGATTTTATTTGTTCACATTTTTTTTATCTACCAAGAAAATGTCTACAATTAATTATTAAAAATGTCTTGCACTCTTGCTGTACATCAACACATAGAGTTTAAAACTGACTAACGAAAAGCTGTACAAAACCACATATATAATATGCTAAACTTTCTAATAAAACCAAATATATAATATGCTAAAATTTCTCATAAAATAGTCCCTTTCTTTTCTATAAATACGAAGTGGGCACCAAATACAAAATCCCATAAAGACAAGGGAAACATCTTTCTCACATTACATCCCCTAACAGTAGCAATGTCTCAATCAACAACGACCACAACCATCATCTTATTAGCGGCATTGCTAATGGCAGCGACGGTAGTTTCAGGGCAAGAAGCAGCGCCTCCTTCGAACGCAGGTATGGTTTGTGGAACAAATTTGGGTTTGTGTGCAGCGGCGCTTAAAGGAGGAGGACCACCACCAGCAGAATGTTGTACAAGCCTTGACATAGCAGCGAAGACGCAACTTAAGTGCCTTTGCGCCATCCTCACAAACCCGCAAATATTGGCTGCCTTCAATCTCACCACCGAAAATGCTCTTCTCATACCTAAAAGTTGTGGCATTGATGCTGCATCGTCTATGTGTTCTGGTAACGTTTATAATCACAAACTTTTTATGTATGTATTTTAATAGATCTTTAAATATTTTAACATATTTTAATATGATTCAAAATATTTATATAGCTGAGAAAACTCCTCTGCCGCAAGGGGTTCCACCAGTCGCAGGTAAGAAACAATTGTTTTTTTTCTTTTTTTATGTAACTAGACAACCAACAGTGGCGGACCCAAAAACTTTTTTTACCTTGGTCAAATTAAATTAAAAAATAAAGTTTACTCAAAAGTGTATCATAAGAGTTTTGAACTTGGATTACAATGTTTCATTAGCCACAACTCTACCAATTGTTCAACCCAATCTTTGTTGTTTTGTATGTATTATTTATTATTTATGAACTTTATCCAGGTGAGGTGACCTAGCATAGCCGTTCATTTTGTTACAAAAAAATTGTTAAAATATAATGCAGAGACTTTTAAGGGAATGGTAGGGAAAATTGTGATGAAATAAACTGGACTACAAAAAAAAAAGAAGTTTATTTAGCATTTTTGGCAACCTTTATTTAGCCGTTTATTCTTACTAAAATGAGATTTATGATGTTTAGGACCACCGAAAAATGACAAGGCTGTTGCAACCAAAGTCGCGGGAACTGGATTGGTCGGGATCGTCTTAATGACGATACCTATGATGTTTTATTAAAATTGAATATTTTTAATTAATGAAAATATTTCTGAGTGCTTTGTATAAATGTAAGAAAAATGGTTTGGTTCCACCCACTCGATGACCTTGTATACTATTCATTTATATATATTTTTTTATTCAGAGTTTTGAATTTGTGGGTTGCATATAGTGTTGTTGACGTCAAATTTGTGTTTCCAATTTATGAATAAGATTTTGTTTTTATTAGCTCACAATTTCTTGCATATGTTATTTTTTTATGGAGTACATAAAATATATTGGAAAGCTCTAGAGTTTTATATGATTCTAAATACTAGAAACAATTTTTTTTTTTGTAGTTGCCATTTTTTATTCCTTGATAGTTAGTCCTATCATATGATATACTGCCCATAACAGACAAATAGACTTTTACAACTTAAAGCATAATCAATGGTAGTTGTTAAGTTGGGGTTCTAAGTGATTTTTTTATTATAAATTGTATTGTGTCGATGAGAACCCCACATTTTGGAGTTCTAAATCTCTTAAATTAGAATTTTATTGGGATTTTTAAGTGTTTTGTGTATTATTTAATTGTTTTTAATTTTTTAAAAACCCATTAAAAACTACTTAACACCTACAATTGACAAACAGTCTTGATAACGGATATATGGATGACTCCATGACATAGAACTTTTCTGATAACACGAATTCAAGATAGAACGAGGCTCTCAAGTAAAGAAGATAAAATGCTTCCCACGAAGTATAATTCTATTATCTTATATAAAAACTACCAAATGTTGTTGACCAAAAAGAAAAAACCTACCAAATGTAAATAACCATCTAAAATATAATTCTATTCTCTTCTCTTCCCATTTGTTCTTAGTGTTCCACTACGTTCGCAATTTAATTTGTCCTCAAAACCCATCGACAATTTTTGTGACAATTAAGTGTGAAATCATTTATAGTTGATTTTTGTTTTTCTTAAGTTGATTTTTGTTATATCCAGACATTTCTAAAAAATTTCGAAAACATTTGCGACTTTGCTACGAAATAAGTACCGTCCTCTGATTTAAAACAATTTTTTTTCTTAGTTGATAATATATGTCTACATGGAGTAACAGAAATGGAGTTTTTGTGGTAAGAAAAATTAATCATAATCAACTTTTTATGGCAAAGCTCATAATCCAAATGATAATACAAATCATTAAAATAAAAATTTAATTTTGTTTTTTTTGATAAACTGTGGGAGTTCCAAATCTTTGGTTCATAATATGTTCGGTACCTGGAAGCAGTCTTTAGATATTTAATAAAAATATTCTAATAATATAAATAGTTATGTTAAGTAAGATAATTGCATGCCAAAATTATTTCTCCAATGGTTGTAAAAAAAATGGTCTAACTAGTTGTATCTTTTTTTTAAACGATTTTTTTTAACATCTTAACGATCGTTATTTTGTGTTACAAAAAAAAATTATATTCCTCTATGCCACAA